TTACATGAACAACATTACAAGATTAAAGTGACTATACACAACTGTGTCACACATGCCCCACAAGCATGAAAACGGAGACATTTTAGGTGTAGAACAGAGTACTACATAATGGTTGTGTTATTTTACAGGAAACATTACCAAAGTAACAGCGTTCAGAGACTGCTCTTATAGAATAAAGCTGTAATTTTATTATAGAGAAAATTTCTATATTTGCATCTGGGGGAAGAATTCTGCCATATATGAAAGAACTGTGATGATTTTCCAAGCCATTGTGCAATCTGTCTCCATGATATCATGCTTCCAGTGTCATGCACAATACATTCTATATCCGTCATCAAAGCCAGTCTCAACTGCCGTCTGACACTGGCTTCATCAAGATAAAAACAAAAATCGGTAATAAAGGTATCATTGCTCCAAAGGCACAGTATGATTGTTTCATATATTTACATAAATGGTTCCTACCCTGTTAGCACATTCCGAATCAATGTCCACAGTGTTTATTCTAAAGTGAAATTTTAGTCTCCTCCTTCCTCCTTTGTTTATGAATATCTGTGTTTCTGACAACTGACAAAGGGCATGCTGAAGACTTACAGCATTCACAGTTGGCTATGTGCTGCAGTCGGATTTTCCCCACATAGCTTTATTCAGTGTGCCTTAGCTCTGGAGAAAATGGCCAGATATTGCAGACACAGTGGTAGCTGAACTCCTCAGCAAGGACAGCCATTCCTACCCTAACTCTGGGGTCTTGTCTTTTTTCTTTTTTAGATGAATTTAGTGTATGTGAAAGTTCTAGACGGACAGTCATGGAGGCTGAAGTCCTCCATTCACCCACAGAACTGGATATTCCAGCGCTAGCTCCACCAGTGCTCCCCAGCCTCGAAGAAGAGTGTCCAGTTTCCATGTCCATTCAATACTTGACATTTATGTTCAGACTACCAATAATGGTTCCAGTTGTGGTGCTGTTTTTTTAACATGGACTCCAGTCTGCTGACATCATCAGTTCCTTCTGCATAGTCCAACTGACAGCCATCACATTGTAACAACTTCTGGTTACTGCTGATCTGGGTTGTATGTGTATTGGGGATGACCTAGAAGTGAAAGCTACCCATATCCCCATACCAGCCTCCAGAGTTATCCTGACCACTTTATTATTATTTTTTGAAAATAATCCTTGATAGGGATGATGTTGAGATCACCAAAATCTCTTCACTTGGGAACACAATTTGGAATATTTATATCTATCTAGTTCAACAAAACACAGCATGAAACACAAAATTTGGAATATTAAGATATTACAAGTTATAGCTAAACTAAAATATGAAACCCTTTTCAAGGCATTTCATAACATAGTTGTATATAAATCAGAAACACTGGACCAAATTCTGTTCTCAGTTAAACTAATACCAATTGGAAATAAATAAAGGAAATTGGTATTGTAATGCTGTTCATGTAATGCCTATGATGAAATATCTGATCTATCAGCTCTAAGGACCACATTCCATGAACAGAGCACTCAAATGTTCACAGCATGAATAGCACATGCACATCTGCTCTGGTTCTCTTGTTGCTCTGTCATATAGGACCTGTTTGTGATCTCACGTATCAATACCAGTGGAATTCCATTGACCTGAATGGAGCTTTTTCTCATTTACATTGACCTCTCTGGCTTCAAGATTAGGCTAGATAAGTTTATAGAGGGAATGGTTTGATGGGATAACGTGATTTTAGTCAATTAGGCAATAACGGCCATCGCTGGTAAAATGAGGGTCTGGCTAGAGAATCTTGCCTGTATGCTCGGGGTTCTGCTGATCGCCATATTTGGGGTCGGGAAGGAATTTTCCTCCAGGGTAGATTGGCAGAGGCCCTGGAGGTTTTTCGCCTTCCTCCGCAGCATAGGGCAGGGGTCGCAAGCTGGAAGATTCTCTGCAACTTGAAGTCTTTAGATCACGATCTGGAGACTTCAACAGCAGAGTTAAGGGAAAGTGGGGGGGGTCAGCTTTTGTGGCCTGCATCATGCGGGAGGTCAGACTAGATGACCATATTGGTCCCTTCTGACCTTAAAGTCTATGAGTCTATGAGTCTATGTAACTCAGAGAAAACTCAAGTCCAGAGACTCCCATTTGTGCAAGTTTAATTTCTATTTCCTTTAATAGGACTTACTCTTGCACACTGAAGACTGAATACTTAAGATGAAAAAAATCCCTGGATCCAAATATTTCCTGAACTTTGAAAAACTTTGTATCCAGATCCTAATTTTATGTTTTGGGACCATCATCAATGAATATGCACGAAAATTTCCCACTCCTTTAACAGTAATGTGAGCCTGGGGTTGGTTCAGGGAGTTAATGCTCTGCTTTCATCTTTGGAAATGTGGACTCAGATCCTCATGAAATGTAGAAAACAACATCAAATTCTCTCTCACACACATACAGTGCAAACTACACATTTACATTTAAAATACCTACGCATGGTTGTTCAATATTATGTTGTCACACTTTAAAAAAATCCTCCTTGACAACAAAGGGGAAATAAATACACAGTTGATAATCCCACAGGTAAGAACTCTACAGGTAGGAATGCTTGACCATATCTAGGCTTACATACTTATAAATATGCTTGGGTATGCATCATGTTCTTTAGTAAATTCAAACTCTTAGCAAATAAGATTCTTGTTCTTTTCCTTTAGTCTGATGGATGTATCACATAGAGCCAATAAACCATAGTATCAGACAGAGACACTTGTTGCTTGTTTAGACATATGATCTGACAAAAGGTAGGGGAAATTAAAAAAAAAAAAAAAAACTCCTAACAAAAACCCTAAAGAGAACAAAAGAAATATGCCAAGAGAAAATGTGACACACATCCTTTATACATGTTTAATTTCTGTTGTTTTGGTTGGAAAACAGCTGCAGGTGTCCTCTAATTATATCACCATTTTCACAAATATCAACTGTCATATTTAATTTGTTACATTTACCATACAGCCTCCTCCAACAGAACACTTCTTTCATTACGCATCTAGTGCCAGAGTTTCTAACATTCAAGCTAACTTTCAAGCTAATCAATTAATGCATTATTTACAAGTTAAATGTTATTAAAAACAGATTCTTAATTTCCTAATGATTCAGTAGACCCCAGGCAATATTCCAATTTGTTTTTCTTGAAAATGGAATAACACTTAGAACAAGGGGGAAAATAATGTCAAGGATACTTTGGCCTACTCATCTGTGCTGTAGTTTCTGCTGTGGTTTTTCTACCTCCTAATTCCCCCTCCTCTTTTTTTTATATTGTATTTTGAACACATCAGCTAACCAGTTGCAGAATGATTGAGAGGAAAGGTCTATGAAAAATGAAAAAACAGCACAAACACTATTGTGAGTTTTGTTTTTAAAAAGCACCAGGCAGTCTGGAATGATTCAATACACATGTTCACCATACAATACAGCACATTTTGATTTACAGCACCATTCTAGCATTACAGCAGGTTAAGAAGGTTAGAAGTCAAGGGAAATTAAATGTTATTAGCATTCTACTGTTGTTGTGGTGCACAATGTGAGTACATACCTTTTCAAATGCACTTTTAAACTCACATTTGTTTCTAAAGCTTTTATCTCATCAGAAACTTTCACGAGCACTTGTGTATAGTTAGCCTTTTCTATTTTTGTGCGGCTTTTCCTCTCATATATATGCTTGTTCAGATGCTTCATTAAAGACTAATTCCCTTCCTATTCCCTCTCCTTCACCCTCAGACTGCAATCACCTACAATATGGTGGTTGCCATTAAAATCAGAATTACCATTTGAAGGTAATTATTGTTAGGACACTTAATATACCTGTAATTCCATGGTAATGCTAATTAGTTTCAAACATTAAATGTCAACATTTTAATGACGACCATTGTGGCTTCAAGATAATTGTGTCAGTGTGTTTGTTTTAAATTGGGGGAAAAGTGAAATCCAAGCAGGAATTCATGATCATATGCATTTTCTGCCATAGCATGGTTTTTAAATTATAGGTGTACCTGACTCACAAATTTTGGGTCTGGCACTGAACATGAATTTTGGGTGGGTTAATGTTTGGATTCAATGTTCTGGTTTAGCCTATGTTACAAAGTTCAGAACCAGATATGGACAAAAATATGGATCCAAACTTTGTGTTTGTCAGTGCGTGCATTGGGAAGGTGGACGGAGGTACAGAAGGTGAGATGTGAAGTTCTGGTTTAGGCCCATGGCTGTTGATGGGTCATTTCAAAGAGGTGGCCAATATCAGGATTTAAATTCCTGTGGGCCTCAGATACTCAAGGCGAGTTCCCTGGACAGCTAGATGTTTCATGCTGTACCACATAAGGGATAAAAGTCTACTACTGCTAACAGCTAACAGTGTTACTCCCTTAGCTTAGGTGGTGGAGGTGGAACTAAAGGTCCGGGTTCTATCCCTGCTGAAGAGCTGCTGTGGAGGATCATTATAAAAGCATCCATCAGAAAGTTTCAGACTTTGAAACTAAGTTTGTGTTTATTCAACTTTACAATCACTTCTCTGTACTATCTGTATTTCACATACCAAGAAACTGCATTACCCTATGCAATTGAATTAGTTGTACCATGACTCAAAGGCATTAAACAATGACTTTGATATTTTAAGTACTGACTAAGAGGAATTTTTAATTCCTTCCTCATAATGAAACAAACAAACAAAAAAAACCCCTCAGTTACACAACCTTGAAACACTTATTCATTCTCTATTCTGGGTGGACCTCACTGAGACAGAAAAAAAGCATTTAGTTTGCTTAACGGCAGAATTAAAATTAAACAAGTATAGACATGCAACCTTAATGACACCCAGCAATGCTAGAGTAACAATTTGTCGCTTCTAAAACTTGTTATTTAACATAAGGGGAAAATCTATTGGGAACTTTTCAGCTGCTGCTGAGCCTAACACCCGCTCCCCCTGCTTTTTTGCAAGGGAGGGAAGGAGAGAAGGGGGAAGGGACTTGTACTCACTTGATCAGAAGAGTCTCTGCGAGAACTCCAAAGCACACAGCTGCTGCATGGAATACAGCACTGGGTGGAGGGTCCTTAAAAGCTACCATCATTCGATAGACTGCAAGGGGAATGATAGTCATTACTGCCAGGACCAAGCAGAAGAAGAGCCAATTCTGCCAGTGACAAAACAGGATTCTCCACACTGATCCTTTCTGTAGCTGGTACTGGGGAAAAAAAGAAAAAACAGGTGGATTAATGCTGTGAAACTATGAGCATTAACTGCTAATGGCACAGGGTAGAGCACCTAAGTGATGATTCACATCTGACAATAAATATATGAATAGCTGTTGAAAGCTTGTTTGATTTTCACAAAGGGGATTAAACAAACATTCATTTGTTCATTAGTTTTGAGCAACACTTTTATGGCAGTAGATGTATTAAACCTTAACATATGTCTGCAACCAAGACATTTGGGGTTTTTAAAGATTAAGACACAAAGCGATGCATACTGTTTATGCAGAATGGCCTCGAACTACCTGTAATGGAGTGAGATATGGTTATTATACATTAACGCTGCGAATCTTCATCCTGTTGTAGGCTAGTAGGGATGCCATGTCTTCAAAGATAAAGACGTAAAGGGCCCAATTCTGCACCTCCTGGTGCGCCTGCATAAACGTATTTTCCTTGAATAATTTAAAAAAGCAAGCAGTTTAAATCTGCTTCCTGAGTTAAATTATACTGAACTGATATCCTCCCCCCATTATAAAGTCACTGCATGTTGCAATCTGCACTGCGGGGTGAAGGAGTAGAGGATAGCTCCAATTCATGACTTCTTCAGGACAGTTCCCAAAAGTGATGGCTCGGTCCAGCATGCTGCCAGACTAAAAAACAAAACAAACCCAGATGGAACTGTGATAAGAAAAATCTCATCTGCATCATGAGTTGACAGTGTCATGTTATGTCAGTTTTGTGCACTACAGTGTTGCAGTGACATGAGATCACAGCGCTGACCCATGACCGAAGCACATAGCATGACTTGGGAAGGGATGTGTGTGTGTGTGCATGCACGTGCAATGCTGGCCCTCAGACATTTTTGTGCTCTCCTGGTCCTGGGACAGCTGCGTGGTAGGCCAGTCTCCTGGAGTAAATTACAGCCATCTGTAGGCTGCTCTACATTACACTAGCAGCCATTAGCTCCAAGGGACTCTCATGGCACCTGGGGATCAGGAAGTCCCAGGCTACTCAGGTCTTGACCCTTCTGTTGGCTGCAGGAGGGGTATAGCTCAGAACTCATTAAATAGCTTTATGCCACTGGAAGATCCCCTTAAGCACACTGGAGCCTCCTGTGGCTGGTTACATTGGCTTTAGGGCCACTTTGCAACACTGGTGCAGTGTAAAGCAGCCCTAGCCCAAAGAAGAACCTGTGTCCATGTTCTTCTGATCTGCAGGGCAAGACTGGAAGGTAATAAATGGAAAGAAACTGAAGACCTCAGCTGGTGTAAATCACTGTAGCATCACTGAATTCAATATGCCCATTCTGGATTACACTAGCCCAGAGAGATTTAACCTGACTCAAGTGAACAAGCTACACTGTGTCTCTTATCCCAGAGTGCAGTTGTTTTGTGGGAAGTGCTGCATGGTATAAAGTTGGATATGACTGGGTCAGTGCAAACATAATCACAGACCTCCGGTCTCCCATTTATGTGCCTCTGGGTCTTCACCTCATCTCACCAAGCGATAACATAACAAGTTACGAAGTGCAAAGCAAAAAGCTCATGTTGTTAGCTTCCTGAACTTGGAAAAAAATGAATTCCTAAAATTATTGTAAGCACAACACACTCGACATCATATGCCACTGAAATGGATGGAAGATGGCATCTGAATATTATTATTAATTTAATAACATACTCGCCTGGTTATTATAATAACCCTACGCATGGATTTTTGCATTACGATCAATGAGGGCCGTACATTTACTTGACTTATTATAATTCATCTTACTATTCAGACATACAGTGGTAACACTGGTGAACAGCATTGTTTTTGGGAGATAACCACCAGCATCTTGTGATATCCCTATTCATCTGTTGTAATGTTTAAAAGTGGGGCTCTTAACTGTGGCCATTGGACCCTGACAGCACTCTATATTTCTCTCTGGCTCTTCAGCGCCAAAACCAATTAAAGACAGACTGTGCTACCTATTGTCACCACACAGGGTCTTAAATCCTGGCCTGGATTAAGTAGTCAGGGAAGGGACTGCTGACTACATTACACAGCTTGCTGATACATTGCATGGAGATTACAAAAGGGCAACATGGCTTCTTGTGAAATATTGCAAGAAATCTCATGGGATAATAATTTATTATTTATATACGGGAACTTCTCAATGGTCTCAGTGAAGATTGCAGCCACTCCATGCAACGTGCTGTACAAATGCATAAGACAATGTCCCTGAAGAGCTTACAATTTTCAGGCAATCATTGTGAAATGTCCTCCAAGGGGACATAACTTAACAAGGACCATCTTTACTATGTTACCCTTTTAGTTTGTGATTGCAGGTTCTTCTGGGAATTTCCTTATATTGCCTCTCTCAGTGATGCTTTGACTTGGCTGTAGATTAAGCAGTTATGTAAAATACGCACAGAGAATTGTACACAGCCCATAGAAGAAGAAAAGTAAAAGATCTCCCTTTTCCGTATTTGAACTGGATTGTAAATGCACAAGTCTCAGAGAGGCAAGCCAGTCTGGGAAGAGTAAAACCTCTGCCCATTCCAGAAATATGAGAACTTCTCGAACACCACTTTCTTGCTTCTCTCTGGCTCCTACTGCATTCATCTACCTCCCTCCCACAACCTCCAGAAACTGCCTGGCTACATCCCTGCCCAGGACCCTCCAACTGAGTCTAATTTGCTCTAGAGATGGGCCCAAACTAAACCCTGGAGCTGACTACCCCTAAATTTCAAGAAAGTTGGATCTGGATCCAAATGCTGTGACTTGAGCAAGTTCTACTTTCCCCTTCCGAACATAACAATATGCTCCAGCTACAAAACTCCTTCCTCTCCATTCCATGAATGGACAATAAAGTTCCCCTACCTTTGATGATCCTATTGCAGGACCCAGCAGCTTTGGCACCATGTCTTCAGGCATCTGGATGCTAGTCAGTTCAAACCATTTGCACTGTGGGGCATGAATCCTACACAATGGTTCAAAGTCTCAAAGCATAAGGAACTTTAATTGACTGCTAGGTGCACCTGGCAGGTCAGTTGACAGTCCTGCAACTTATTTCTAAAGGCAGAGGGGCACTATTGGAGTGTTGTGAGCTACGAGGAATTCAAGTGGCCCAGCAGAGGACTGCAAAGAGAGAAGGCTTGTGCATCAGGAGGATGGAAGCTAGATTTTACTGGATGGTCATAAGAAAGGAGGAGGGAACAGGGACCTGTTGGAGGGTGGTTAGATGTGAGAGGTAGGGTTATTATTGGAGTCTCAAGGAGGTAAAGGAAAAGAGAATTAGAAAGTTCAGATGTGTTTTGGTAAGTTCTCAAACTCTTGTATGCTTTGTTGAACAAGATATGACCCAACCCATAGAGATCAGCTGAGGATATAAAATTCCCAAAAGTTCAAGGGTGTTCATGTATGGGTTTTACTTCACTGCTATCTCTTTTCTGAACCAAGTCAGGTTCACCCATATCTAAAGAAAGTCCATGCTAGAAGCTGATTCACAAATACACATGATGAAAGCTGAAATGGCAATACTCAGTACACAGTCAGATGAGGATGCAGGCATGTCTGTGCAAAAGAACAGAATAGGGCCTAAAGTTTTTAGCAAACTTGACTCTTGTAAAGGATTGTGGGGGCTAAGCTAGGAGAAGGACATCTATTGTGCCAAGTTAACTTCACTACACCCACTTGCCTGTCATTTTTGTTGAAACTCAAGAGAAGGGACTGACTGAAGAGGGGACCTCGAGCATCCAGACACGTAATGGATTCCTCTACTGAGCCATCACTCTTTTTTATTTTCACTTTTGATGCCATTTAGCATTTAAACAGGTAGCATTTGCGTGGAATCGGTTTCTCCAAACTCCATATTTTATACTTAGAGTATCAAAAAAGTTATTTCAAGGGCTGTGTTGCTATGTGATTGCAAAAACTGCATTGCAGGAAGAAAGGTCACCAATAAGAGCTTTTGGAAAATAGAAAACATTTAGCTATTGTGAGATTATTTTTCGGTGTCATTGTTTAGAAGCACCTGAAATGACTGTAGCTTATCTCTGCATGTTTGATAGGCAGTGTGACTCACACTGTGATTACGTGAAAATACCAGAGAGGGAAATAGACATAGCCCATAGTTAGGATTCAATATGGGTCACAAGAAATAATCAGTGTTTACGGCACATTTAACCTGGGTGCGGTAAATTTGTTCAGATTTTATTTAAGAGTAAATTTCCAGTGTGGAGTGTGTGGTAGCAAGGACAGGACTACTATACTGAATGCCAACGGACTTTTGCTCAGACTAACAGTCCGGGAGCTCACAAAACAAGAATCATTTCTTGCCATAATTAAACTGTGAAGCGTATTTGCTTAAAAAAAAGTTTTAATTACAATTGGCATTTCCGATCCTAGTGCTGGAGACAGTTGTCTTGCTGAAAATTGATGCCATTCGTGGCACTGACAATAGGCAAACCCTGTGGAAAAGCCTGTAAACAAGCTTCTAGCCTTTAACCATTGGAGAAAGCATTTTTGTTGTTACACTATTATTAAAACAGGTTGGAAATGGATCCACATACTCTTCTATTGAGCTGACAATTATCATACTGTTGACATCACAAACCATATCATTTTTCAGCAACATGGCCTCCTCCAGCACTAGACTCACAAATGTCAGTTGTAACTGAAAGCTGGTTTAGCAACCACACCCTCAACATTTGATAGTTTGTTTCTTATCTTGAGAACAATGGAAACCGCTGGGCTGAGCAAAAGAAGTGCAGCTGACGGCCAGCTCCTGGAGGTACTGAGCATCCTCAGCTCCTCCAACAGTCATGTGCATTCTCCACCTCACAGCATTAGGCCCCATTTGAATACAAGAGTAGTAGACCTTCACTCCATACTGTGCAGTAAAGAACTAGTATCTGGGTTGGGTTGGCCAGGACTTATATCCGAGTGCCAATTCCAAAAGAGCACAGAAGAATCACTTTTCCCAAACCATATGTCATCGTGCCAAAAAGAC